CCCTGCTCCCAAAGCCCTGCTCAGAATCCCACCCTCATCCCTGGCTTTTCCCAGCTCCAAAATGAATCCAGGGAGGGCTGGAATTCCTGGAAAAGTGGAGAGGGAGCGAAAATGAGCTGCAGGAAGGGCAGAATAACCCTAAAAATGGGATTATCCCCTAGGAAAAAAGGGAGGGGAGGCAGTGCGGGATATCCAGGGGAATTCCCAGCTGGAATTACTGATAGTAAAAGGGTTTTAAAGGGTTAGAAGGAAAATTAAACTTAGTAGGCCCTGAAAAAAAAATAAAAATAATATATTCCCTTGGTAGATGAAGGAAAAGAGGGCGGGGAGGCAGTGCGGGATATCCATGGGAATTCCCAGCTGGAATTCCTGATAATAAAAGGGTTTTAAAATAATGGGGGTTTAGGGTTAAAAGGAAAATTAAGCTTAACAGGACCTGAAAAAAAAATAATAAATTCCCTGGGTAGAAGGAAAAAAGGGAGGGAAGGCAGTGCGGGATATCCAGGGGAATTCCCAGCTGGAATTACTGATAATAAAGGGTTTTAAAATCATGGGCATTTAGGGTTAGAATCCAACCCCCAAATCCCAAATCCAGCCCAAACTCCAAATCCAGCCCAAATTCCAAATCCCACCCCCAAATCCAGCCCAAACTGGCCCTGAAAAAATAAATAAATTCCCTGGGTAGAAGAAGGAAAAAAGGGAGGGGAGGCAGTGCGGGATATCCATGGGAATTCCCGGCTGGAATTCCTGATAATAAAAGGGTTTTAAAATCATGGGGATTTAGGGTTAAAAGGAAAATGAAGTTTAGTAGGACCTGAAAAAATAATAAATTTGCTGGGTAGATGAAGGGAAAAAAGGGAGGGGAGGCAGTGCGGGATATCCATGGGAATTCCCGGCTGGAATTACTGATAATAAAAGGGGTTTTAAATCATGGGGATTTAGGATTAAAAGGAAAATTAAGCTTAACAGGACCTGAAAAAAAAATAATAAATTCCCCGGGTAGAAGAAAGAAAAAAGGAAGGGAAGGCAGTGCGGGATACCCAGGGGAATTCCCAGCTGGAATTCCTGATAATAAAAGGGTTTTAAAATAATGGGGGTTTAGGGTTAAAAGGAAAATTAAGCTTAATAGGACCTAAAAAAAGAACCCAAAAACCCCAGGTAGAAGAAGGAAAAAAGGGAGGGGAGGCAGTGCGGGATACCCAGGGGAATTCCCAGCTGGAATTCCTGCCAGTAAAGGATTTTGCAGCTGGAATTCCGTTACCAGGTGAATTCCCAGCTGGAATTCCTGCCAGTAAAGGATTTTACAGCTGGAATTCCGTTACCAGGTGAATTCCCAGCTGGAATTCCTGCCAATAAAGGATTTTACAGCTGGAATTCCGTTACCAGGTGAATTCCCAGCTGGAATTCCTGCCAATAAAGGATTTTACAGCTGGAATTCCGTTACCAGGTGAATTCCCAGCTGGAATTCCTGCCAATAAAGGATTTTACAGCTGGAATTCCGTTACCAGGTGAATTCCCAGCTGGAATTCCTGCCAATAAAGGATTTTACAGCTGGAATTCCGTTACCAGGTGAATTCCCAGCTGGAATTCCTGCCAATAAAGGATTTTACAGCTGGAATTCCGTTACCAGGTAGCTCAAGGCACTGGCCAGCTGCTTGGCCACGGTGATTTTCCAGCCCACGGAGACGCGGCCCTTCTCCCGGCGCAGCAGCACGTCCAGCGGCCCGTGCTCCACAAACTCCTCCACCAGGATGTCTGCGGGGAATGTCCACGGGATCATCCCGCGGGATGATCCCACGGGATGATCCCACGGGAGCAGGGGGGATCCCATGGGATTGGGGAGCCCATGGAGTCAGGGATCCCATGGAAGTGGGGATCCCATGGGATTGGGGAGCCCATGGGAGCAGGGATCCCATGGGATTGGGGAGCCCATGGAGTCAGGGATCCCATGGGATTGGGGAGCCCACGGGATGATCCCGCAGGAGCAGGGGGGATCCCATGGGATTGGGGAGCCCACAGGAGCAGGGAGTCCATGGGAGTGGGGATCCCAAGGGATTGGGGAGCCCACGGGATTGGGGAGCCCACGGGATGATCCCGCAGGAACAGGGGGATCCCATGGGATTGGGGAGCCCACGGGAGCAGGGAGCCCACGGGAGTGGGGAGCCCACGGGAGCGGGGAGCCCACGGGATGATCCCACAGGATTGGGGATCCAAGAGAATTTGGGATTCCAAGGGAGCGGGGAGCCCACTGGATGATCCCATGGGAGCGAGGAGCCCACGGGAGTGGGGATCCCATGGGATGATCCCACGGGATTGGGGAGCCCATGGACTCAGGGATCCCATGGGAGTGGGGAGCCCACGGGATGATCTCATGGGAGCGGGGAGCCCACGGGAGTGGGGATCCCATGGGATGATCCCGCAGGAGCAGGGGGATCCCATGGGATTGGGGAGCCCACGGGAGTGGGGAGCCCACGGGAGTGGGGAGCCCACGGGATGATCCCACAGGATTGGGGATCCAAGAGAATTTGGGATTCCACGGGAGCGGGGAGCCCACGGGATGATCCCACGGGATTGGGGAGCCCACGGACTCAGGGATCCCATGGGAGTGGGGAGCCCACGGGATGATCCCACGGGAGTTGGGACCCCATGGGCTCGGGGATCCCACGGGAACGGAATCCCATGGGATGATCCCACAGGAGTGGGGATCCCACAGGATGATCCCGCGGGATCAGGACTCGGGGCGCAGGCGGACTCACGCTCGGAGCCGCGCACGCAGACGCCGTGCACGAAGGCCAGGTGGGCGTGGGACACCTGGGACATGAGGCTGGCGCTCTCGAAGAACGCCTGCGGGGACAGAGCCGTGCCAGGGGATCCCGGGGATCCCGAGGGGCCGGGGAGATCCCGGCAGCCAAATCCCAGCCAAATCCCAGCCAAATCCCAGCCAAATCCCAGCCAAATCCCAGCCAAAGCCCAGCCAAATCCCAGCCAAATCCCAGCCAAATCCCAGCCCCTGGGGAGCCAAATCCCAGCCAAATCCCAGCCAAATTCCAGCCAAATCCCAGCCCCTGGGGAGCCAAATCCCAGCCAAATCCCAGCCCCTGGGAGCCAAATTCCAGCCAAATCCCAGCCCCTGGGGAGCCAAATCCCAGCCCCTGGGGAGCCAAATTCCAGCCCCTGGGGAGCCAAATTCCAGCCCTTGGGGAGCCAAATTCCAGCCCTTGGGGAGCCAAATCCCAGCCAAATCCCAGCCCTTGGGGAGCCAAATTCCAGGATCAAAAGCCAGGACAAATCCCAGCCCTCATGGATCCACCCTCCAGCCCCTGGAGGTAAATTCCAACCCCGTATCCTTATTCCAGCCTTTGGATCTGTATTCCAGCACCTGGAACTGAACTCCAGCCCCTGGAACTGAATTCCAGCCCTGGGATTCATACTCCAACCCTCTGGGCCATGTTCCAGCCCTTTTGGGATCACATTCCAGCCCTGGATCCCTCTCCCATTCCCCGGATCCCTCTCCCACCCCCCGGATCCTCTCCCACCCCCCGGATCCTCTCCCACCCCCGGATCCCTCTCCCATTCCCTGGATCCCTCTCCCACCCCTGGATCCCTCTCCCACCCC